TAACTAGTAAGTTCAATCATTTGATTTATTTTAGGGTTTGTGTAGTGTGTCAGATGTGTTGATTAAAAAAACATAAAACATAAAAAACTAGAAAACATACTTAAATAATTTAAAGTTCAATAATGAAATTATGTGATACTTTGCTTTTTGTTAGTACTTCATTAATGGTTATTTCTTTATTTGTTGCAGGTATAACTGATAGTCCAAAATATCATAATATAGAAATAACTGATTGGTTATGTAACCATAATAGATTATTATGTTTAAAGAATCTACCACAACACAATATCCAGTGTGAACCTCAACTTCCTTTTAAAGCAGCAACTTCAAGAGATGTTGTTATAGGAATGTTTGTACCAAAACGTGGATGGACTGAACAACACTTAGAAATGATGTCATTTGTTTTTTATTTAATGCGTCAAACCATTCCAAAAGCACATTTAGTATTATTTTTAGCAGAACAATTAAAAGGGGTTGAGGTATGGGATAAAATGGTACAAACATATTCCATTGATGCTATTTATGTTAATGTACCAGAAGGATGGAATATGGTAAATTATAGATTTATGTTGTACAAAGAATATTTAAAAGAACATGAAGGAGAAATTGATAGAGTTATCTTTTGTGACTCAAAAGATATTTATATGTTAAGAGACCCATTTAAACAAATCAATAATCAAAATTCATTAATAATTGGAAGAGAATTTAGAAGTTCAGAGGATGATGACTATTATTCATATGATGGATTTTATCAATATTATAATAATTATGTTTGGATGAAAGATGCATATGGTGAAAACTTTACTAAAGAATTAAAGGAAAAAAAGGCTCCAATTAATAATGCAGGTTTTGGTGGTGGTGATGTTCATTCAATGATTAAGTTATTAACAATATGGACAAATGAAATGGTTCGTATTGGAGGTCAACAAAGATGGGGATTTGATCAGGCTGTGTATAATTACTTAATTTATAACGGAACTATTAGTTCTCAATTTCCTTATGCTCATTTTGCTGATTGTAAACATGACAGGATTTGTATGTTTTCTGAAAAGAGAGTTAATCTTGTAAAAGGTATTCCTTACTTATTTGATGGGTGTATTCCTCATGTTTTACACAGAGATGGATTATCTTTTAATATGATGGATGTAAAAAGATATCCACATAACAATTTTAGTTAAAATTATTTATTTTTACTACATATTCTATTTTATCATAAATGGAGAATTTAAATTGAGTTAATAAAATTATAAAAAATTATTAACATTTAGTTTATAAAAAGAACTTGAAAAGAAAAGATTTAGATTTAAGAAAAGATGAGTTTCTTATCAATTTTTCAATTTATAGAAAATCCTCAAAATACTGATCAAAGCAAACATATGGTACTTGTCTCAGCACTTCATGAAGTCGTTATAAGTAGAGAAACAGAAAAGAATATTGATTCAATACATCGCTGTGTAAATGAATTATTAAAATTAGTTAATGTTACAGCACAACCAATAAATGACAAAAGTGATATTAACGAACTAATATTTCAATTTCTTATTCAATTAAGTATCTATAGGTCTATGATAGCATTCAAACTTGATGCAACAGAAGTTGGTCAAAGTCTAATAACTGTTTCAGGGAAATTATTATACTTAACTTCAGGAAAAGGAATTCTTGAAGTTCTGGTTGGTGATCCTTTAAGAAATTTATCTGAAGCACAAATTAATCAAATTCAACACGATGATATTTTATATGCTCAACTATCCAGAATTAAAGCTGAATATGAAAACGCTGTCATAAGTCAAAATACAAAAGTTAATAACGAAAGTGATTCAACTGATATGGAAATTCAACAATCAAAGATGGTTATTTCAAACACAAATTTTGCTTTTAAACAAAGGGCAAATCAACAACAAATCCAAGCTATACAAAATAGACTTCAAGAACTTAATCCAAATGCTTCTATTAAAATAGAGAATGATGTAGATTTAGATTTAAAGAAAGTAGATATTTTTGTTTCTACATTAAAAATGTCAAGTTTATATCCATGTTTAAGTCCTATTACTCAAGCACTAATTAAGTCAGAATGTAAAGGTCTTGGTGTTATTTGGCTTAATACCCTTAAACAAGTAAGAACAGAACTTATAAAAAAAATGTTTATTGAAAGTAAAAATAATGGGGAATTAGATACAGCAATACAAATTAATGTATTTGATGTTTGTGGAGAAACTATTATTAGTAAATACCGTAAAGAATATGAAGACAAGGATAGAAAGATTCAAGAATTAATGAATTCTCTTAGAAATGCACATCCCTATCATTTTAATGTTGAAACACCATTCTTGTTAGAAGAAAAAGGGGTCTCAGCATCACCTTATTTACCAGTTATAGAAACATTTAAAAGAATTAGTGTTTGTAAATACCTATATCAAAAACTCACAATAGGAGCAACTTTATTACATGAAATAGAAAATGTTATTGATGGATTTTATTTAAGAACAGGAAAAAAAAGAGAGGTATTAGGAGCTGAACAATTACCTCCACTCTATTCTTATTTATTATTTAAATCAAAATATCCAAATGTTTATAGTGATTCTATGCTTATACAAGATTTTCTTGATGACTCTAGTGCATTAGATAGAAGAGGTCATTGGATTTCTATTCATATGCAATGTGTTGAATTTATTTTATCATTAAATAAATACCAAATGGATAATAATTTAATTTCAAGTTTAATTACTGAAGGGCATGAAGGAACAGTCATTGTTATTGGAATGGAAGGTATTGGTAAAACAACACTTGTTAAATCTCTTAGCATGAGAGAAATTAAAACTGTTGATGAACATTGTTTTGGAGTACGTTGTGGTAAATTAGAGATATTAGAATGGGATATATATGGAGACAAATCTGATATGATCCCAATGCAACAAATTAGGAATATCAGTGGGGTAGTTTTGTGTATTCCAAATATTGATGAATACACTATCAATACATCATTCGCTTTAGCAGCTCCAGTATTAAATTCATTAAAACATCCAGTCCCATTGTTATTATTAATGACTCGGCATGATATTTGTCCTACTATTACTCTAGAAAATTTCCCTAAATTAACAAATTTAATATTCAGTAATATTAGTCGTTTAGAACTATCATTATGTTCAGTTAATGGAGGTTATGGAATTTATGAATCTTTTATGAAACTTAGAGCTCATTAATTTAAGTATTCATTTCATCAATTAGTTATTTACTTTAATAAGTTGTTGTGTTTTGTAACAACTTTCAATATAACTAAGTCATACAATAATTTTCTTTAAAAAATATAAGACAATTCTTTATTCTTTATCGTGATTTGACTTTTGATTTAAAGGAGGTTTAAAGCGTATTGAGAATTTTTATTCCTTTACTCTCTTAACAATAGTCTCAATGGATTATAGAATAATCAATAACACTTTAAAGTCTAATAACAGTTTATATTGAAATATAAAAATATTATGACTTTTGATCATAAAATTTATACATAAATCCTATTTCTTTCCATTTTATTAGTCCTATTCGTTTTTATTGATTCAGTCACATAATGTATATTTTTTATTGTTACTAAATCTTTTATACTTATTTTTCATGTGTTTGTTATCACACAATGTAT